CCCCCCCCCCCCCCCCCCCATATTTTTTATATACAAGACAAGGGACATTTTTCCTGTTTACATGCAAGTTACCCACACATTCGGAGAATTGAAATACTTGTCTATCCACAATGTATAGCCACGATATAGGAGAGATTCAGTTAGGTTCAGCTTGAGGGCTGCTGTTTTGTTCTTTGTGGGGTCTGTCGGTGAGCTTGGTTGTTCCGTCTTTGCCACTGTGTACACCAAGAATGATCACATATTCTCTACGTGATTCATACGCTTCAAAAGTGTTTATAACAAATATAGCAGCCTTCACAGGAATGTACTCTGAAAGTTGTTTCCAGAGCAAGAGAGATTCATCAGGTGTAATGTTCTAACCTGGAAGGTAGAGACTTTGGAATCTTTAATTTAGATACTGGACAAGAGGATAGATTTTGAACACTGAGATCGCCCTGAAATTCCATCATTTACTGTTGTCAGCAAAATGTAAGAATGTACAGGTAAGCTCCAGTCTGTGAACAGAAATTGTTTGGGAACAAATTCAATCTCAAGAAGTCTTGATTTTGCTAATTATGACTAAAGTGTGGGTTTTTGAAGCATACTGTGTACATTCATTCGCCTTATATGAAATCATGGGATGTTTGTATTAATCTGTGTTTATAAACTAGTCTCCCTTTTCATCCCTGTGCAAGCAGCATGTAAAAGGAGTTGACAGTTTCTTCAGCAGATGTCATATAAGATCACCTTGTCACTGTGCATACACACTGTACGTGAAACTGCAAAAGAGAGATGGACTACAGATGCATACCGTATGCAGCAGACCGCATCAATAGGTTAATATTGATTGCCCTGTCATGTTTCAGGCAAAGAGCCTAAGGTTATATGTGAGCAGTGTGTAACGACAAATGTGAAGAAAGCTCTGAAGGCAGAGCATACGAACCGTCTGAAGACAGCATTTGTCAAGGCCTTGCAGCAGGAACAGGAGATCGAGCAGCGTCTAGCGCAGGTGTCCTGTGCATCGCCCACCACGAGCAAAGCTGGCGGCAGAATCGAGCAAGTTTGGGTCCCATCACGCTGCAGCCGCAGCACTACACCAGCAACTGCTGCGTGGGATGCCCCAGCACCAGCCAATGCCTGCACACATGCTCCCGTTCTCGCCCCTCCTGTATCCGTACCAGCTTGCGATGGCTCAAGCAGCGAGTGGGAAAAGCTCGGTGGCAGCTGCAGCGGCAAATCTCGTGGAGTTGCAGAGGCAAGCGGCAGACCTCCAGCGACAGTACCTACTGGACATGATCCCCTCGCCACAGCCGTCACCCTCCCGTTCTCACCCCCACTCCCTGAATAATTGGAAGACATGATGGCACAGTTCTGCCACTGGCCAGCAGCAGCAACAGCAGACACAGGCCGGGTTCCCGCATCTCGCCACAGGCTGGGACAACCTCAACTAGGTCGCACAGAGTAGGCTGGGAACCAAGGTGGGGTGGAGCACTGGGGAATGCTGTGGGATGCCTGCTGTCATTGCTCAATGAAAGGTGCAAGCAATATCCAGTATTATGTCAAGGTCTACTCAGTCTGGAAACGTCCACATTGCTGCCAGCGCATGATGTTGGTACTAGCCAGTAGAGCCACCACACATTTCCCCAGCTAGTCTCACCATTTGGTGCAGCTTCTTGTAAATAAAGAACTTTCCACTTTTAGCAGTGCTATGAAGATCTTCATATTGTACCTCTCTCTTTTCTTTTTTTTTTGTGAACAATGTACTGTAGTCCTGATGTGGAGAAAATGGCTGAATTTCTCTATTCCTTCCCGTTCTGGATATCTTGGTGTTAGATTATTATGTTCAGTGTCCGTTCCTTTGTCGTCATTACTTAACGTTTTCAAATATTTGGCGTCTCTGCGATGAACAGTGCTGTTTGCCGATAACAGTGAACTTGCCCTGGAATGTGTCATGCGCCCAATAACATGGAGCTGTCTTTTTTTTTTTTAATTTGTTTTGTTTTGTAAATGTTAGAAGTACACAAAGAAGTTCAGTAATAATGTTGAAGATGATAATTCTCTGGTAGTGGAAGTGCAATTAGGGATGTTACATTTTTTTTATTTGTAATGAATGGCTTGAGTGTTGGGACAGACAGCGTGAGAGAAGTATGCATTTATTGTAAGTGCTGCATAAACGTATTTTGCTCATTTTTACATTTGCTAACATAGTAGCATTGTGTGTGAGTGTGTGTGCGCGTGCATATGCGTGTGGGTGCATATGTTATGTATTCGTCTTGTCATCGTGTCATCATCCACTTGTATCCTTTCTCCACCTTCCTGTGTCACTAGGGCTGAGAAGTGAAGCAGTGAAGCTGCCGGTAATTGGACACCACGGGGCCTCCAACCCATTAACTTGCGCAATTTAACCGTTTCATGACAATTTCTTATGACTTTTCTGCGGTACAATTTTTTTTTCTTTCAAATGTCACCGATTGATGTGCAAATGATGTATCCAGATCAAGCTTGCTATTTGTGTAGTGGGCATGTAATCAAAACAGACATGTCTGGTTATCTCTAAATGTTATTGACAATGGTGTTGAATTACCAGTTTCAATTTTTTTGCACTTTTTCAGTCGTTACAATGCTTCCTCAAAAAACCACTACATTTTAGGCGATGGCTCTTGTCCTGTCCTCAGTTGAACCTATGCAGTCGGGCCTTGTAGAAGGAGCTAATGTTTATCTGTGCACACAGATCGCAGTCCACAGAGTCTGAAGATGGCTATCTTCCGGGTTGTTGTGCCCTGTAGTCACACAGCGTAACAACCCAGAAGACAGCCGTGTCCAAGTTCCATTATATTTTTTTTAAAATACAGATGGATTGTGATTTCACATTCACCTGCTCAAGATCGCTTGAGACGTTTCCATTTTCACATATGTGTACTTTTAAGATTTGTTATTTTTTTTCATTTTAACTTATATAAAAATTGAGCCACAATAATATTCCTGGAAGAAGTGTGTAAACTATTTACTAAAATTGGGGGGGGGGGGGACTTGTTCTTGCTCATAAAATTTAAAGTGTTTATTTTGTAATGTCTATAAGAGAGAGGTCAGTACAATGCTGGATATGATGTGCGTACTGATTGTTTTTTGTTGAGTCATAAATGCACTGCAGCTTGTTTGTTACCCACATCCAATTGACAGAAATGGAAACCTGATCGTCAGCTGTGAAATTCTTCCTTGTATTTTAACATTAATAAAATGATGACAATAACGAGTATTCTTAGATATCTAAATTGCTTTCCTTCTGCAGGGAGGATATTTGGTGGCTACAGGGCATGGCCTTTTCCGCCGTGCTCGATCACTGCATCAGTTGCCACATTGAAGTATGACTCGATGTTGTCAAAGACTCCTTTAGTAGGACGTTGATAAATTTACACTGAAGCATAGTGTGTTTTTGTATGAATCTTACGTGAAGTGTAACTTCGTTGGGAAGGATCTGAGGAAAGTTTTCTGGTGTTGAGTTACCAGCAGAAACAGTATTCATGATCTTGTCAATAACGTAAGAGTGACTGGTTCATTAGTCGACTGGAAACCAAAATGTGAGCATTGAATATTTACAGAATGGAAGTTGGAATGAATTGGAGCTTGCTTGACGTCACCTTGTAAGTCTTTTAAATACATTTTACGAGAAGCTGGAGTGTCAGAGGGGCACAGTAATTAGAACATCTGGTGTGTTAGCCAAAATTTGTTGGGTGACGGAATGTGTCTAAGCCAGTGGGGAACATTTCAGCATCTGCTGTAACATACTAGAGTTTATTTGACTCTGTGATGTTGCCGCAGTCTCACGGTCTTGATAAAGCGTGATCAACGCAGCATCCGTGCACAGCAGTAAGGCTGTGCCATGGTGTCTGAGTCAGATATCCTTCCTGTACAAGAGACTCCGTCACGTACTTGACGTTTTAAGTGTTTCAGTTATGGGACTGTGTTTATATGTTTCATATGTGGAAACTGTAACAGATTTAGACAAAACTTGGTATTTAGGGTCCACAGTGGAAGGTAGTAGACTACTTTGATCAATACTAGTCTGAGAAAGCCCCTACTTGACAGAAAGCTCGTTGTATACTTAACATGAAATAGTAGATCTTTCTGACGGGGCCCAAAGAATTTATTTGTTTTCTTTTCTGTGGTGAGGAAAGACGCGTGGATAATTAGTAACAAAATCTTTGATTTGTTCATTAATATTCTCTTCCTCAGATAAGTGGTCTACAGATGAGGACCTTTGTTATCGCAACACTGACATATTTGAATGTCAGAATGTAGCAGATATGTTAAAATTGGCATTCAATTTTCACCTTTTAATCAATTATTTTCTGACATAAGATAGATTTGTATCTGCAGTAAAGGAATGTGAAAGCGGGTGAAGTATAAAGAATACCTTTTTTAAATGTTTTTGTTCTGCAGTACACCTTTCCTCTCTTGCCATAGGATTGTTATAAAGTGAAGGAAATGGGAGTTTATCTGTGGTTGTGCATTGAATTTATACTCTTTTGCTGTTGCCACATAATGTTTGCTCACTGGTAAATATCTCTTTAATGCCTATGAATCATTCGTTTTTGGGTGGTGTAATGTGTTATCACACGAACGTTCAGTTAGATCTGATTTGTCGTACGAAACAACTGGGATTGTTTCTGGTTACCGTAGTATTTTCTGTATTACCTGGTTTTAAAATTAAATCAATAAAATCAAACTTCATCTTTAATTTAAATGTTAGGTTAGAACACAGTTGGACAGCAGTATGGTTCTGAACCGTGTTTGCACACTGAAATGTGATGTGCTGTAAGCGTGTTTAGGACCTGTGAGGGCTAAGCCACTTTCTTGCACACATTTGCATTGTGCATGTGATTGCACAGCTCGATATACTGTGGTGTACTACTTCATGTGGAGCCCGAAATCGACTGAATGCTCCGAATAATGATGTTAGAGCATCTGCATTTTCAAGCTGTATTATGTAGTGTAACTGAGTCATATATTATTGCAAGCGTTCAAAATTACCGTCAACTAGCTGTGCTTGACACTTGGTTAACATGTTAAACCTTCCTGAAGTTCCTGTCTTGGAAATTAACATTGGTATGATTTTGATGTTTTCTTCAGTTTTGTCCTCTGCATATTTTGGTAAAATTTGTCATGAAACTTCCCCACAAATAATAGTCATGTCAATGAGTAGGTCATAAAGGATGACTTGTTGCAAGGAAACCATATAATTATGGACCATATGGGTAGTACACCATTTGCTGAGAGTGCATATTCCTTATCATCACGTATTGAACCAGGTAGCTTGGTCAATATAGTGACTTGAGTATGAACTGGATGACTGGGGTTCAATCCCTGACGGGCAGACGATTTTTCCTCTAGCCTCTGCGTCCAGACTGGCTCTGGGGCCCACCCAGCCTCCTGTCCAGTGTGTACTGGGGTTAAAGCACGGCCATGGCATGACGCTGGCCACTCACCGCTATCTAATGCTGCGGTTAAGAACGAGCTCTCCTCCCCCAAATGCCTACATGGCATGTAGCAGGACAACTTTACTTTTTACTTTGAAACACTGCTTTGTTGTGGGATGCTTTTAACCATGCTCCCATATCATCACATTTTTCTTTTGAACACATCTGTTCTCACTTTAACAAAGAAACCTGTTTGCCAGTCGTATTGTTTTCAAGTTAAATAGGTCTCTGTGTAAGGATATTCATCAGCTGTAGGTTCAAATCTTGGCAGATACTAGGCGAGTACTTTAAAGTACAGCCAGGTGCTTCTTTCTTGATCATTCTTAACTGTCCTGTGATGTTAAAGCAAGTAAATTTGGGTTGGGTGCCCTGTTTTTGATGTACAGAGCATAGCTGTCATAGGAGTGGTCGTGCACTTACGCTCCACTGCCATGAGCTGTTCGTCTGTTAGCTTCGTACATTATTGTTTTCATCCTAGTACATATCTCGTCTTCCTGCTGTTTTGTGATGGTGAATATGGAGTCATCTGTTGTGATTCTGTTGCCAGTTGTATTTTAAGATGGTTATCTTAGTGTGGTCTGCAGTCTCACATGAGTTGTTGAACTGAACCAAAGTGTGTACGTACTTCATGATTCCACACACACACGTGAAGTATCGATGATTTAAGCCTGAACCCAGTGCATTGTAATTTTGGCAGATCTTTAGAGCGGGAACTGTGGAGACTAAACCTGTGGATTTGGTTTCTTATGCATCTGTGATTCTGTTTTATAATTTCTACTCTCTTTTTAATTATTAGAACCCACTGAACATGTAATGTAGTGGTTAGAATATTTGTTTCATGTTTGCGGTCTTGCAGGGGCCAGCTATCATTTTAGCAGTGACTGTAGCCTTATGAACTCTTGGTTTATATGATACTACCATTTCTCATTTGATCTCTGCAGTTGGTAAATAAACTGAGAGAAATGTTGAAGATTGATAAGTTGACAGTATGATTAGAACTCAGTTACCAGTCTGAATGATGGAGTGGTTATGAATTCATCCATCTGAATAGTTTAAATTAATGGATACTAGTTTGTTACTGAAAACATTACTCTGACATGAGCCAAAAGAAGCTCTATTTGAGGACTGTCAGACACCTGAAGGTCGATTGTGAATCAGCAAGATAGTTTTTGGCAGGGCTAAACTGAAATGGCCAAAGAAACACCACTTTATGAAATCCCACATTCACATCTGGCATCTGACCATTTCAGTGTTTGTACTACAAAGGGTGGAGTAAAGTGATTTTTGTGGTCAGTGCATGATTTGGGGGAGGGGCAGTGGTGTCAGACTGCTTTTCAGCCCTCCTGTCACAGTCGCACACAAAGTGGTTCAGGGTTTGTTGCACCTGTGTGTTTAAATTATTAATCAATTGGTTGTTTTATTATTATGCCCCCCCCCCCAAGCTGGATAATTGGGGGGAGTAATATGTACGGCTGGTTGACTGTCACTGCCCCTTACGATCGGTATTAAACTACTTTGAATGTTTGTATGCTTGTTATTCGAGCCTTGTCTGGTTCCTCAATTTTCACTTTCCTGTCCCCTGTCAAAGAAATGTTGTATTTGTGTCTTTTGGGCCAATGGAAATTGAACAGTCTTATTCGCAATTCCTAATTTCATTTTATTAAAAATAATTAATTTGTAGTTTACATGTTACTTTCACTGTCTACATGTAATTAAAGACGCGCGTTTCTTTGATTGCGACAATTTTTCTGATTGTAATTTCTTATGTGATACTTTGAGCAGGGTGTTCCCAGAATTCTCAGGAATAACGCATCTCAACGTGTATAATGTAGCAGTTGAATAAAAGAACACTTAATTTCTTAAGAATCCAGTATAAAATGTGTTTCTCTCACAGATAGTGGGAACCAAGATTGAGAACAAAATGCCAAGAGATTTTGTAACATTAGAATGACAGCTTGTACTTTTCACTTAGTGTTATTTACGGGTGGCTAAATTAGGTGAATGCAGCAAGTATTGTGAATCGTGGAAAAAATATATACAACATTGTTTCCTTGTGTAATGTGTGTCATAGCAAGTCCTGGGAATAATTAAATGTGATCTGTAAATTGTTTTTGTGGCTGATGGGGTCATTACAATTGCCAAAAATAATTGTAATTTTAGAAGTAATTGCATGTGAAATGGAGTCCTCAGATTTCATTAATATATCTGTCATAAAATATATGAAAATTACTTATGGTTACAGGATGAGGGAGTACCAAAGGTAAGGTTATGAGTTCCCAACACGAGTAACTAAACATGTTTATATGAATGTGGGTGTTTTATTTCTTCGGTTTTAATTAAACTCATCTACCAAAACAAATACCCATATGGATGGAATATCGCCTTCGACACTTGTGCCAGATAGAAGAAACGCTTGCAAAGCATATGTTTGTATTAAACCGCCATCCTTGCATGACGTCAAATGGTATGTGCTGACGTAATCTTGCGTACTTTATTCCTATAGTCGTGCGAAATGCAGTTAAACGTTTCACTCGTTAAATTGATGTAAACAGGACGTGACTAAATGCCGTGTACACAATTAGTTACAATCAAACATTGTGTATTAGTCGCTGAGACATCGAAAAATATGCGTGTAGCCTTTCACTTGTTTAATAATCGACGTGGAAGTGTCGGTATTGGCTTCTGTTATTGTCTTAAAAATAAGTTCAATTAAGAGTTACAAGTAAATCATCAACGTAAATTATGTTTAGTTTGCTTTTAATGTAATGGAATGCACATTATTATTATTTATAGCCATTAGTCAGTTTGTAGACCTTATCCATTTGTGTAAGAACATATACATATTTATTTCAATAGCCCCATTTCATGCTGTAACTGTTGTTTGTTGTCCCATCACATAGAACGTTACAGTGTCGATGTTGGCGTTCCTGCGTCGTTTTCGGGAGAGACCGGATTCAAGTTTTGGCTCATGATGTTTCGTCATTTTCTTCAGTACCTAAGGGTAAATTCTAGAGCAATGCCCTAAGATAGCTCAGAACCACTTCCTTCATAATACACAACGTCCCGTCATTTTGATTTTTCGCTTCTGAATACATAAAATGGACATAATAGTTCAGCGCAATCTTAACCGCAACACGTGGTTAGTTTCACCCTAAGGTAACGAACATTTGCTCTTAGATGATGCATTTGTGCAAGACATGCAAATCCTTTTCTCTTCGAACGTGCTTGATGACATTTGGTGTCGATTGGATACGTTAAAAGGTGTGTGGGATGAAATGTACAGCAGAGTCTTCTGTTATCGATCGATTTTCGGTTAATATGTAACCGCAGTTGGTGTTGCAATGGTATCTGTAGTTGGTGCAGCCCATGCGCTGTGCTACGTGTGACAGACAGTTGAGCGGTACACTTCGTGCTGAGCGTAGGAACATGGCGGCTCGCACCTGCCATATGGTGATCATGGCTCTAATAATTGCATCTCTTCGTTGCTGTTCAGCATATAAAGTGGAGAAGTTCTCATTTTTGATGCCTAATGTGAAGCCGTATAGGGTAAGTACAAATTAAATAGCCGTATGTAAAATCATGTCCTAAAAATACTGCTTTCCACGAGTGGCAGGTTGCAGTCCGGGTTACACTAGATGACACGAAATCAATGTGTGCGCGTGTGTGTTTACATACAGTCAGTTATGCATTTGGGAGGTTTCGGAATACTGTCGTGTTGACGATACAGGGTCTCCTTGAGGCAGCTGATAGTGGCTCAGCCTTCAAGAAACCACCATATTTTTGTACAACCTGAAGATTTATCGCGATGTGAGAGATTCTCAGGGCATTGTTGATCTGGGTTGTGACATACGACTCGTAGTATGGCCTTGCCGTACCGGCTCTGTTTCCAGAGACTTAAGCCAAAAAGTGTTTTTATTATTAATGACACGACGGCAGCTTACAAAATGTAGGTCGTTAGCATCTGATAGTTGCCAAATTGGGTCAAACAAGTTCACGCCATTTGTAGAGGCCTAAGGTTAATTGCCGTGTTCACAAATACATGCATTGGACTTCAGTATGAGGAAGGCCTTGCTTAGGTCGGGCCCTGCTCCCCGGAAGCTGCATTCAGACATCTTGGGGGTTGGGATGTGTAATCTGAATGAAGTGAGGCGCAGATGCGTGCGGTTCGCGGGATTGATTTTTCCCGCCCACGCTGTGCTGTTATGACGTCACACTTGTAGCGATGTTTGCTATCAATATGGCAATAAACAAACATTTGTTGTATGATGCATTATATCAATGACTAACTCCTCACTGACGGCAACGGATGACGCAAAGGCCAATATATTTTGAGTCAATGTCTAAAAGAACGTATCATTCAGAGAGATGAAATGAATGGGGATTTTAAGATGTTACATGACGCGGAACTTTGTGATTTACCGTGGTCACGTAATATTCTCATAACAGTGAGGTGCAAGTGGCTGTGGTGGTGGGCTGGGCATGTAGCTTGAATGAGGTGGTAACGAATGCACACAAAGAGTAGTGGTAAATAAACCTCTGGGACAATGGGTACTTGTGAACATCTCAGAGCTGATGCGATAACATTAAGGTGGATGTAGGACAGATATGTGAGGTGCCCAGTCTTTTTGTGGAACGTAAGTTTAATGTGGTATGTGACTTGTAAATGTAAGGTCTGCAAAAAAGATATATACAGTAAAACCTCTCTAAGTTGGACACTTGTGGTTCCACGAAAATGTGTCCAACTTACAGAGGTGTCCAAGATAGAGGGAAAGATAAGAGAAATATCAGATTGTGGTTTAATGAAAATATAGTCTATTTACTTACATACACTGACTGCTGTAGGCTTACTTAAATTAAGAATTAATGACAATAGTATTAATAATAATCTTTTGAAGCCCACTCCCATGCATTGCACATTACACCCCAGCCTCAATAACATTTTCTAAAGTTAATTCCACTAATTTTCGCTTCCCCATCGCAAAAACAAAAATTCCATTTCTGTTAACACAGTCTGAACCCAAATGCAAGCACAGTCTGTGTCTTCTGCAATACTGTAGTCCAGTTAAGGGTTCAGCAAAAGAATGGTTAAACACTTGCAATGCATTCCAATGCTGGGTTCAATGTCCATAAGACAATCCTCTAGAGAGGAGGCATTCATCAGTCAGAAATTCAAAATAACAAAATATGTAACTGAAAAACTTTCCCTGAAAAGCATCGAAGTTAAGTGCATGAACCTGTCCAACTTACAACAAAAAGGGGTGACCAAGTTCCAGGATAAAGGGGTGTCCAAGATATAGGGTATTGTGGACATGTAAAATTATATGATATTCGCCGGTTCCAATTAAAAGTGTCCAATATAAAGGGGTGTCCAGGATATAGGGGTGTCCAACTAGAGGGGTTTTACTATACTACAAATCTCTCGTCCCGTTTGCCTTTACACTGTTTGCTTGCTCCTACCAGTCGAATGCCCCTCGATATTTTGTCATTTTACATCTGAAGTGTATGCAATTCCACTGCATGGTGGGCAGACACGCCATTTTTATTTGTAATCTTGATAACATGCCATACAGCGATATTTTCCGTGACATTGGCGAAAGGCTGCTGGTGTATACTTCAGTTCTGTGCGGTAATATAACCAATTTCCTCGTGTCTTTAAAAAGCTCGGAAGTGTGGCGTTGCCTGATGGTCAAGCGATGAGTAGTTTTCCGGTCCATTGTTAATGTTTCCAGCTGAACGCAGAGGCGCCATGACGTCATCATTGGTTGTTTGCTTTTCTTTTGTATAAATTTAATAAACGAACGTTCGCTCTGACATTAATTTTGTTGGCTGACGCCGTCTTCACAGCAGATGGCCTGCTTATCTGGCCTGAGCAAACACGACGATCCAGCCACCGCATTCTGACAAAGGTCGACAATAAAGTAAAGATTTTGTGGAAATTAACTGTTGTGGTAGCCACTGACATGTTGTCTACTTTGTTTCAGCCTGAACTGTACCTTTGTACACCTGTGAAAGTGGACTACAGCAAGAGTTATTACATCAGTGAGTAGACTGTCCTTTGTACATTTGATTCCTTGTAACTAACTGAAAATAAAGTCCCAAAGTTGAGCAGTACAGAGCCCAAGTTACTTAAAGCTGATAACATTCTTGAACAGTTTATTTCAAAGATCAACTTTAATATTATTCATCATCTGTGTTTCTGTTTTCCAAGCGTCTGATTTCCGTCTCACCGACAGGCACGTACACAGAAGACAAGACATAAAATTTTATGACTTTTGTCATCAGACTGTCCCATTGAACTGTATCCTTAGCCAGTTTAAACCACTTCTTGTCACACCATGTTTCCTCAAGATCCTTAATTGTATTATCCATCCTTTACCTGTGAAGATGTCTTTTTCCGTGTGTTTTTCCTTCAGGACTTTCTTTGCATTTGAGTGCACCTTATGCCCAGTTTCTTTCATGCAGAAAGGTCACCATTTTTGTTTCAGTTGGATTTGAACCCAATGCCACAATGGATAAGGCTCACCACATGCTGCTCTATGGGTGCATCAAACCTGGCAGTCGGAGCGCTGTTTGGTGAGATGATTTATAAGTAAAACAAGAAAGTACAACACTGAACTGTGTCCTACACCAGTTCTTTCATATATAAACACATAACCAACCAGATGGCTTACGGAACCCGAAGGTTCATTACCGAATTAACCAAAGCCCTCCACCGGACCCTGTCCTGGACCAACAAAATCCAGTTTCCTTCAACTCCTGTCTCCCATAGATCCCGCCTGAGATTATCCTCCCATCTACGTCTCGGTCTCCCCAGAGGTCTTTTCCCCTCAGGCTTCCAAAAGAGTGGACCCAACCAACCAGATGGCTTACGGAACCCGAAGGTTCATTACCGAATTAACCAAAGCCCTCCACCGGACCCTGTCCTGGACCAACAAAATCCAGTTTCCTTCAACTCCTGTCTCCCATAGATCCCGCCTGAGATTATCCTCCCATCTACGTCTCGGTCTCCCCAGAGGTCTTTTCCCCTCAGGCTTCCAAAAGAGTGGACCCAACCAACCAGATGGCTTACGGAACCCGAAGGTTCATTACCGAATTAACCAAAGCCCTCCACCGGACCCTGTCCTGGACCAACAAAATCCAGTTTCCTTCAACTCCTGTCTCCCATAGATCCCGCCTGAGATTATCCTCCCATCTACGTCTCGGTCTCCCCAGAGGTCTTTTCCCCTCAGGCTTCCAAAAGAGTGGACCCAACCAACCAGATGGCTTACGGAACCCGAAGGTTCATTACCGAATTAACCAAAGCCCTCCACCGGACCCTGTCCTGGACCAACAAAATCCAGTTTCCTTCAACTCCTGTCTCCCATAGATCCCGCCTGAGATTATCCTCCCATCTACGTCTCGGTCTCCCCAGAGGTCTTTTCCCCTCAGGCTTCCAAAAGAGTGGACCCAACCAACCAGATGGCTTACGGAACCCGAAGGTTCATTACCGAATTAACCAAAGCCCTCCACCGGACCCTGTCCTGGACCAACAAAATCCAGTTTCCTTCAACTCCTGTCTCCCATAGATCCCGCCTGAGATTATCCTCCCATCTACGTCTCGGTCTCCCCAGAGGTCTTTTCCCCTCAGGCTTCCAAAAGAGTGGACCCAACCAACCAGATGGCTTACGGAACCCGAAGGTTCATTACCGAATTAACCAAAGCCCTCCACCGGACCCTGTCCTGGACCAACAAAATCCAGTTTCCTTCAACTCCTGTCTCCCATAGATCCCGCCTGAGATTATCCTCCCATCTACGTCTCGGTCTCCCCAGAGGTCTTTTCCCCTCAGGCTTCCCGACCAATACCCGGTGCACACTTCTTGTCCCATCCATGCGCGCTACATGCCCAGCCCCTCTCATTCTTCTTGACTTAATCCCCCTGACAATATTGGGGGAGGAGAACAGATTTCTAAGCTCGTCATTATGTAATTTTCTCCATGCCCCATCGTCTTCTCTCCTAGGCCAAAATGTCCACCTGTATACGAAGCACATAGTTGGTAAAACTTCACAAATACAAAGCAGTCGTGCTGACCGCAAAGTCACAATGTGTAAAACGAAGCGTCAGTATCGAATAAGTGGAGAACATTAACAAGAAGACTGAGAGAGACCGTGTGGGTGATGACGTGTGTTTCAGGAACTGCGGAGAGATGTCGGGGAAAGATGGCGCCTCAGAAATGGCTAGTCCGTGCGCGGTGGGATCGCAGGTAAGCGCTGCTCACAGAGTAGTGTAGACTCCCATTAAATAAAATTATGGCGTGGAAATGTCTTGGTGTCAACGGAGTTCAGCCTTTAGATTTTGGAGGAACCAGATGAGTAACGTCATATCAGTGCGTGGGTTGTCTGGTAACTGTCACATCTGTGTGGATGGACGGGGGCTTACCAAATCATTTTCATTGCCATGCTGAGACGGGATTGGGTTGGTCACTTAAAGTTGGACGTGACAATTTAACCCTCTCTTTCTTTAAACTTGATCATTGTAACTTAGCACCTGTTTCTAAGACTTCTGAATTTATGATCGTGTTTGTTGGTAACAATGCCCTCGCTGTTACAGGTGATCTATGCGTGGGCACGAGACGCCCCAAAACTGGAGCTGCCTGAAGGCGTCGGCTTCAAAGTCGGAGGGAAGTCCCCTATCCAGTACCTTGTTCTGCAGGTGCATTATGCCACAGATAAGCCTTTCAGGGGTAAGTACTCTTCGGCCGTCTGCCACGAAACGCGTCCACTGACAGAGTGCCCAGTGTTTAATATTGAGATATGGGAAACATTACAAATCATAAATAAATTTTGATGTGTACTTTCGATAGGAAGAGCAGGTTCGGTTACGAGGGATGCGTCTTACTTGTATCCGAATGTCTCTCCTGGCCGACGCTTTTTGTGGTCTTCCTTTTATTTTGTAGACGAGTGCTGGGATAGTATTTTGTAGTAGGCCGCGATCTCCCATCATCAGTCGTCTTCTAATTTTATTTGACATTACATGACCTTGCATTCAATCGGAATTGAATCGAGTGGAAAGAAAACGCACAAAATTTGGCAGACGTTCTTATCTATAAATTTAAGCTTTTAGTATGAGAAATTATTTAAGTGAACACAGCAGCGCTCTCCACGCTCATTGAACAAACAGTTCCTGTTTATTGCAAATTAATTTTTGTTTTTCAGGTGGGAAGACGGACGACTCCGGAATACATCTCCACTACACCGAGAGACCGTGAGTATTGGCAGTTCTGATAACTTAACATTTAAGTTCCTCACGCATGTGAAAACTGAGCTTAAACTGATTTCATCTGAATTACGCTAGTGGCATTTCCTAGATTCTTACGCAGTCCTTCATTGCGAGCTGCCGCCTTACGGCTGCTTTGAAATCATTGTGTCATGTTGGCAGGCTTGAGAAGGAGGCAGGTGTGATCCTTCTTGGCACGGGTGGCAGCATTCAGCCCATGTCGGAAGCAAACATGGAGACATCATGTGTGATTAATGAGAAGAAAGTGATGCATCCGTTTGCGTATCGCACGCACACGCACAGTCTTGGTGAGCGGCATCTGACGGATAGAATGTGGGAAATTAATTATCGTCTCTGCTAATGCTTTTATTACAAACAGGAGTCACATTTTGCCCACTGATGTTTTCACTTATTATTTAATTTGGAGCTTCTGTCTGGACTCATTTCTAACCTCTTCTGTTGTACTCTTCGACGTTATTATTTTGTTACTCACAGTTGTAATTCTAGTTTTTTTCGTGTTATTTACATTTTCAGTTTTGAGTACTTTGAACTGTTGCAGGCAAGGTCGTGTCGGGCTACCACGTCCGCCGCGATAGCGATGGACTGGACCATTGGACCCTGCTCGGAAAGCGTAACCCTCTCACCCCGCAGATGTTCTACCCTGTTGAGTCACAGGAGCCCATTGTGCACGGGGATGTACTGGTGAGGGGCAAGGAAATTGATTAGTTGTTTCATAAGCAATAAACAAATCTCTGATCCCTTAGCCGGACAAATTTTTTACGAATTAAGGTCTGGCATCATCTTATTCTTGTATCAGTCGGAAAGTAAACGAGTAAGTAATTTACTAAGCAACTGAATAAGTGTGCGTTGTGGTCTCTGTGTGTAGTGCAACAAGTTGCTGCTGGACCCTTTGATGCGCATGCACAAAATGAAGGGTGGGCCCCATCTTGCCATTACGTCAGGATGAGAGTCGCTGCATGTCTCTACTTGCTCGCGAGGGCATATTACATTCCTTGTCTTGGTAAACCTGGCCACTAACATTAAGTTTCTAGCCGGCGTGGGGAAATCTCGAGGCTGCTGATGTCTCATCTCGGCTGTAAGGAAAAGAGGGAAATCCTCGTCAGTGCAAAGTACACTCACTCACAAAATGTTATTCTTACTGAAATTCCTACACTTATTTAATGCAGTGTAAAACTAAAAATGCACAGTTCTCCATTACAGAAACATCTGCGTTTATTCTTTTACCCAAAACGCCGTCTGCTTCATCGTTTTCTTCTCAGCCGGAAATAGAAGGATCGCCTTTTTGCTGGAAACAAACATATAATTAAAAATAATTGACATGATGCATGCACCTTCCTGATTTAAATCCTGTCAAATTGGTTTGTGGAGACATCAAAAGTACATTTAGCGCCAGAGTGGAGCTTTGTGGATTACAAGGAAATGTAGACGTTTAACATAAAACATATTTTCTGAATGCACGCAAGATGGCTTATCAATCAAAAACATGGAGAGAGATTAGATTATGTGAGTGCAGGTGAAGGAGAATTTTGGTATCCACCCAGAAGACCACAGTTCACACTTTTTCCGCTGAATTTTTTTTAAAATCTTTTATAACTGAGTAAGTAAGTAAACTGATGAATAGATAAGTGAATATTTAAGCTTGAGAGATTAAGGCCTTTTTAAGATTTGCTTTTAAGTTCAAAGCCTATTTCTGTGTCATGTGATGTGGCTGTTATGTGGCAGGCGGCACGTTGCACCATGCAGAGCAACCGGAACCGCACCACCTACATCGGGTGAGTACGGCAGATTTCTGTATTGGTTGATGATCTTCGTAATATCACTGATTCCTTGACTGGTTTAGTTCTCAGCACAAGTAATAGTCGTAATACTCGTCACATGCTTGGCTGGAGTGTAAAGTTTTTCCATGGTTGTGCAGGCCTACCAATGAGGATGAGATGTGTAACTTCTACCTGATGTACTGGGTACACCAGGACACACCTCTTCAGAAGAAGTATTGCTTCACGGATGGGCCTCCGTTCTACTATTGGGCTACCGAATTGAACGGCATTCCCGACAAGGAAGCCAGCGTGCTGTGAGGTGTTATGCCTTGTTGCCGGGTGGTTGTCAGGTCTACCAATATCACGACATGCTTCTCAGTCTCTCCTCTAAACTTTGTTCAGCTAAAGAGTGCATCCTGTACATCATTTTGTGAAGCTTGTGCAAGGATTGCCAGGCATTCTCATGCCATTCTGTATTTATCACTTAACGTGGATTGTAAGTCCGCTTCCCTGGTTGGGCTAGCGGTTAACATTTATGTTGAACTGCTTTTCCGTACTACTAAGCAACGATGTTGCCTTCCTGCATGTTCAATGAATATGGTGATTTGAACGACGTTATTCATTTTTTGTGGCTTTTCAAAATCTTTTTGACCAAGTCGGATGAAGCCATACGCTGATTTAATTACTGTTCCCACTGATTTCAGATCTTACAACCATCCTGTTATGACATTTAGTTAAAGTATTTGTCATGGAAGCAGTTTCTGTGCACCCTGTGAGAAGTAGTGTGTCCAGAAAACCTGCTTCTCCCGTGCTCCATTCTAACGTGCAATTGTAGGACACATTGTGAGTTAGAGCACAGACTGAAGCAGATGCGTGCACATGGTCCATCTGAAGTTTGTCTGTGCTCTGATTCTGGTGTCTTTCTTAACCTTGAAGCCATTGTGATGGAAATGAGAGAGTGTGTTCAGGGCGTTTGGTTCGTAAGATACAGTTTGTCCCCATTTTACTATCATGCCTAATTCTGTGGGCTGTGCTAGAATTGTGTCTTTTAATAACACAAAAATGTTGCTCTTAAAATGTATATTGTTATTCGTTTAATGTGCTGAAGATAAAACAGTAGACTGTTTCTTCATTGAAGTTTTTGTCTTCACTGTATCTTCAGTATAAAACCTGTCTTTCTTGAAGAAAAATGCTGCATTTTGTTGAATTAGTCACTTCAATAGCTCAGATTTTGGGACTTTACTTTTGCTCAGAAATAATGTCCCTTTGATTTCCAGTGAAATATTTATGACTTAAAAACTCTTCCTGAAGATGTCTCTGACAAAGAAGATGGTCTGGAAGCATGTACGCACTGATGAATATAACCAATACTGACCAATTTACAATTTCAGTCAGGTTTCTGCCTAGCACAAGGTACTTACCACAAGATAAAGATTTGAAGCATGAAACTAATGACTTAAGTGTTCTGTAAATGGCCTGTTCTCATTCTCTCTGGTCTGTGGCAGGACTGTACTTTCTCGGATAAAGTACAGGAAGCACAATACAGAAGTGAACAAAATTGCGTGGACAGAAAACTGTGTGTCGAAGAATATGATTGATCTGTTAAATTGTATTTTTTAAATTTCTCTTTCAACTTATTCTCATGACGCGAGACATTTTCTGATAAAGCTCTTTTCCAGTTTTTTTCTTCTTCTTCTTCTTGTTTTACTGCGTGTATGTGTAACTTCAAGGTTGTAATTTCATTGTTTTACGTAACCTCTCAACTTCATGATTACCTGTTCCCAGAGGGTAGAGAGTCATCCTAGAAACCTCTTGCGTTCTCAGTTGGCTGGTTATGGCCACAAAGCTTACTTGTGGTACACAACTTAATTCTGATTGGCCGCTCTTATGTGAATCAGAGCTGGTAATTCACTAGGCTAGCACCCCCCCATACCATTGTCACACAACAAGATCCCCTTCCCCATGAGTGTGCCAGTACCAATACATCCATTGTCTATTGAAGCACCATGATCTTAAGACTGTTCCTAGGGACTTTGTCTCATTCAAAATATTGGAATTGTATTGTTATTTTTAGTCAATGAAGTGAACTGTGATAGCTCATTCAATGCAGCGACATGCTACAGAGTGGACAGGTAGGATTTGATTCCTGCATGGAATGGGAATGGATATTTCTCTTCTCCACTTGTGTGTCCAGACCAGTTCTGGGGAAAACTCAGCCATCCGTTTAATGGTAATTCTTTCCCTGGGGGTGAAGAGGCTGGCATTTGAGGTGACCACTCACCTCTAGGTCCTGCTGTTGTCTGGTGCTTAGGCAGTGGGCAGTTATTAACTGATGATGGAAGTCATTATCATCATTGAAATGCATCAGATTTTGTCATCCTTCATCTTTGACAGCATTTATTTTTCTCTCCAAAATGTACATTTACTAGCATTAGAGATATTTTGACACATTCTGTGTGGATGTGGAAGGATTTATATTTTTTTATGGAAGTTTAGTTTACACGAAAGAAGTCATGCACTTCTTTAATTCCGTAATGCTGTTTTGTGAATTATTACTGTTGAGACCCATGCTGAGGCCTATGGGCTCCTCTGAGGATGTTTGTTTATTAACCATGGTTCCCTACCGTTGCAAGGCATTCTGTAACTTTTGTTCGTTGGAAGACTTACGTCTGTGTGAACAAGCAACACAGAATGCCGAACTACTTGATGCCATGTGTACATATCTGAGCATGCACACACTGTGAATGAATAAGCCTCTTAGAGTGTCTTGATTTAACCCCTCCAGTCGTCCTACATTGTTCTTGTTTTGGTTGTGTTGCTGCTTGTTTATTTTGTAAAGTTTATTATATTGTTAAGAATCTATAAATGTGATTGATGTTGACGTATTTTTCGAGGTTCCTTTCTTCCCAGACATTGATTGTGTAATTTAAACTTTGGGCACGTGTTCGTGTGTCACGAAGTTATGTTGAAGAAAGCTACAGTCCAAGTGATGACGTTGATTGGTTCACAGGTTTCATTGGTAGAGCTCATATGGGAACTTAGAGGCTGGCTGACTTGTTTGCTTGAATCACCTTTTCCCATGTAATAAGGGTTAATGAACTGGAAAAGCTGTAAAAGGAAGTGGTCATGGCCCAATTTAAGGTACTTCACTAACTACATACGTGGTTTACGGACCTCTAAGGTTCATCACCAAATTATGTTCTGGAATTTACCTAAACAGACTGAGGAAATCCATGAAGAACCTCAGTTATGGTAGCCAGTTTCTGGGCTGAGATCTAAACCTTTGACCTCCTAAGTGAAAATCGGTTGTTGAATGAAGAAAAATTAAATGGGGATATGAGGTCAACAGTCGGGTACCTGAACGCTAAATAATATATTGACCAGTCAGCCAGTATATGTGAGAGTTGTTGGGTGCAGTGGTTCTGAAATGTCATGTAAAATTCATTGAAACAGATTTGACTGTATCCCACACAACCGTATGGGCTCCAAAAAATACAGTTCTGGGGGTGAGGAATCGAAAGCGACGTCGTCGACTCTGTACATTCCAAGGGCATAGTATTTACTTATTGAATACGTATGTGTGTACTTACTGCGTGTACCGCACAAAGTGCTCTCTGTCATTGTCTACCTGCACAAGAACTACAATCGTCTGTACAACTTTTAAAAATGTCTATACTGTAAAATAAATACATATTTTTGAATGTCAGAATGAAATGTTTGTTCATAAATCCAGTGCTCCTTCATATATTTCATCCCTTTCATTATAGTAGACTTCTTACACTAATTTACTGTTTACAGAAATGCACACATCTCAAGTGTTTAAGGCATGTCGACAGCAGATGACTGGCCATACCGACATGGCAGATTGCCCAAGAAGACCTCACTGTATTTGATCTACAGTGAAAGAGTTTGTATTCTCATCTGTTCTCTGCAGAGGCACAGGAATTCAGAGGCTGCATAACATAAGTCCAGTGTGAAACGAGAAAGGGAAATTAAGCTCGTTTTTAAAGTCAAGACTGTTTAACTGATTTATTGGGTGTCTAAATGTACATCCAGACTATCAGATATATAATTAAAAAGAACATGGCAGTCACATAAATGCTATAAATATCACATTAATCACACCAGAAGCCCACTTGGCATATATTATAAA